GTTTCTTTGTCGGTGAAGACCTTTGCGATAACAATATCTACCTGATTCGGTTCTAGAAAAATTATTAACAAAAATTTCTTCATAAATTGTATCTTCGGAAGAAAGCGACGTGAATTCTGGGACAGTTTCAATATCAAAAAAACCTTTCATAGAATTATCCAAATTTTCAATGTCAGACAATTTAGAAAAAAAAGGAATTGAGGCGGGGAGGCGAGATATTATTTATTTTACCCAATAAAACATAACCAAAAACTGTTTGTAAAGCGCTGGGACCCCCGTTCGTCCCTTGAACGTGGGTAGAGAGTAAAATTTGAGGTAAAATATCAGCTCCCAATAAAATATCAATGTCCCCTGGACGGTAAAAAGTTGGATCTGCCAATTCTAAATTATCTAAATGTGGCCACGAATGATTATTTATAAAAGTTGAAGGTAATTGGTCACATATTTTCGGCAATACAAGAGTATCTACGCAAAATATAGGTTCCATTTTACCTACAGGTTTCATTAAAACGGTTACAGCCCCAGTATTCATTAATCGAGTGGTATCCCCAATACCCTGAATTGTAGTTGAACATCGACTTAAATTTAAGTTCAACCTTGAAAAACACTTCAGCGAAAGAAGTGAAATTTCAGAGCCGGCATCTAACAATGCCCGATATGTTCTAAAAACACCTTTATTATCTTTTATTTCGATAAATGCTGTACACAATTAAAACCTGCGAGCGATTTTGGGTCAAAGTACAAATTTGTGCCGAATTCGAAGTACTAGTTTCCAGCTGTACTGAGTCCGAGCGCGAGGCTGGTTTCGTATCAGCACTGCCAGCGGCGTCGGTAGAGGTATTTTGACGATTAAAATGTAAAGTGGTATGGTGTGTTTTGCTATTACATTTGCGACATACCGAAGTAGATTTACATGTTTTTAAATCGTGATAGCTACTTAGACATCCAAAACAAAGATGATGTTTTTTACAAAAGGAATGGCGATCTCCAGGAGATTTATTTAAATAAGTTGAACAATGATATAAAGGATGATTATCGGAACATAAAATGCATGAATTTTGCGTGCGAGCGAAAAGGCTATTTTTAGAGCGCGGAATATAAGTTGGCGAAGGTTTCTTATAAACATTTTTAACAGGCGGACGTACATTTTCCAACCCATTACAATGATCTTCCAAAAAATTAAACAGCGTGCGATATTCAGGAATCGAGGTAGATCCGTGATCTCTTTCAAAAGCGCGAGCGGTTTCCTGATCTAAACGGGTAATTAACATATGCGATAAAATAAAATCCCAATCTGTGTTTATTCCCATATTTTTTAAACTTTCCAAATTAATAGAGAACGTATCCAACAATCTTCGAAGCTCAACGGGATCCTCGAATTTCATAGGAGGGAAATTTTCAATTTCCAACCAATAAGATTTCGCTTGAGCTCTCGGATTGGTGTAGCGTTTGACTAAAGAGTCATAAGCGGTTTGATAATTTTCAGCAGTAGCCGTTAAGCGTTTAATCAAGTCCAAAGGCGTACCTTCCAATGAAGATTTTAAATAGTTAAACTTTTCGACCGGTTTTAAAGAATTATTTGTATGCACTACCGCATCGAACATATCTTTGAAACTTTGAAAATCACGAACATCGCCCGAAAATTTGTTTATTTCAATTTTGGGAAGTTTGACATGCGAGGTATTCGGTGAAATCATACCAGATTGATTCGATAACCGGGTAGAAGCGTTTAAATCCGCTTCGAATAAATCGGTGTAAACCGCTTTTATTTCATAATAAAGATCATTAAAAGCAGTTTTCTCGGCATCTTCATCAGCTAAATTTTTTTCTTGGTCGGCGGAATACAGAGTTAAAATTGTTGAATGATATTTGTTAAACTCCTCGTTAATAGAGTCAACCGCGTTAAAACGAACTTTAAAAATTGTGCGTTTAGTTTTATCTGTTTTGGCAGAAACGGCCAACTTATGAATAATATTGATTTCATTCAAGCAACTTTGACGTAATGCAATATAACGACGTAATTTGTCCGCCATTTTAAATCAAATAGGTACAATAAAAATTAAAGTATTAGTTTTGCGGTACGCCACTGGTACAAAATCAAACAATTGTGAAATTCGAGTAAATTCCAACAATCGGTAAAAAAAAATTTTTAATTAAGCGAACGAAACGAAAGAAATGTGATAAATATACCTATGGTCAGACGGACATGCGTAAAAGAGTCAATAGATCAATTTGCGTACCAGGGACCGTGCTTCGTGTACTGGTCGGAACAATTCAAAATGGCTAAATAAATTGCCGGCTTCTCCAAAAAATATTAAATTAAAAATTAACACAAATGGTTTGTAATTTTGCGTAAAATTAAGCGAATTTAATTCCCCACTATTTAACTTTTGATGAAAATCAATGATTTAACACAAAATTCCCAATTTTAAGCGGAAAATTAAATAAAATAAAAAAAAAATAGATTTCAAAAAATTAATTTTCTAAAACTCTACCAAAAGCGACAAAAAATTCAAATCCGGCTCGAAGGACCATGTGATTATTCCCTTAGATATAACTCAATTTCTGGATTGCAAGAGAACCTTAATTCCTTTTAGGCGGTCGTTTAAATAATTAAAGTTAAATAACAAAAAAAGAATCTGAAGAAGCCAATATTTTAAGGAGACTCACCTAGTAGTGTCTGCGTTCTGGAATTCTTGAAGGGGGCCCCACACGTTTTCTTCTTGGGAAAACGGAACACCGACGAACAAAATAACAAAATATTTCTATTTTTCCTTGCGAACACTTCAGCGGATCATACGGTACTCGTCGGTTTAAAATCCAAAAAATGTCCTTTTTACAAACGCACAGATGGGCGCCGGCGCGAGTGATTCCCATTATATTGGCAACAAATAAATTAAACTATTTTGATAAAAATATTAAGGGTCACTAGCATCCAATTAATTATGAGAAATATCAACATAAAATAAATATTATAAATTAAGGAAAAAACGCGTAAATACCTAACATACTCCCACCCCAAAAGGCGCGTAAAAAAAAAACGTGCCTTTTCCTAAAAAAAAAATATCAGAACATTCTTGAAACCAATTTGTTAGTGTCATTTTCAATTTTATCACCTGATGGAAACTTTACTTTTCAACAACATGGCGCCTCCTGCCATACAGCCAAGACCACAAGAAAGTGGCTGCAGGACAACATTATTTCCGTCCTTGACTGGCCCTCCAGCAGCCCTGATCTAAATATAATCGAAATAGTATGGCACAAGATGAAGCAGCAATTAATAAATTATCCACAGCGCAACATTTCTGATTTGCGGGTAAAATTGCAAAATATATGGGATTCTTTTATCGCGGAAGATTGCGAAAAGCTTGTTAAAACTATGCCTGATAGAATAAAAGCTGTTATTAAGGCAAAGGGAGATGCAACCAGCTATTGATGTGATTTGTCCGAACATTTATGTGTCAATAAATATGCATTATTATCAACATTAGCTTAGTTTTATTGATCAATATCATAAATATGATATGTAAAACAATACATATTATGTCTTATAAATGAAAAACATGATATTGAATCCCTTAAGGAATTTTCCCTTTTACGAAAAATCAGTTGATGTCCGAACATTTTTGTGTTAGGGCTCGTATTTTCGGCGTCATTTTTGAATTTAACCAATTTTTCAGAAAATTCTAGGTTTGAATTGGCCCAAATGTTCAGCAGCTTTTTAAATTGCAGTTCTAAATCTTAAAATACTATATACTCTCTAGTTTTCTTCGTAATTTTAGTGGCACCATCAATAACGTCGACGGGCTTCTGACTGCTCTGCTAACGTCTTTTAATTTGTTGCAAACATGTCTTAACAAGTGATTTACGCATTCTATTTTTTTAATTAAGTAGCTCCATATGGTTTAACCTCTAACAATTTTTTTGTTACACTACTGTCACTGCCTCCAACAAGTTTTAGAGTATTTCAGTCTATGCATCTCTAGGCTAAACTACTGTAAATGTGGAGCATAGACTTCTCCTTATTTCATTGGTAATGTCACAGCTTTCTAACGAGCAATTGAAATAAGGCATATGCTCGAAATTCTTGATTTGCTGCCAAAAAAAAACGCAATGTTAATAATTCGCAGTCCTTCCAATTTAAATGTTTTTTCTTCAGAAACGTTATGAACTGATTCAATTTCTGGTTGAATAATGTGGTCGCATTCAAAGACTACTTCTTATTCAGAAACCAGATCATTACATTCAGCTTCTATAGTTCGATGACCTCAACGTTTTGAAATAGCTGTGCAAATAGACCACAAGCTTAGGTAAATAAAAAATTAATCGTCGCATATTTGCTTTTGTAACAAACTGTAAATGTATCTATTATCTATTAGGTCACAGGACCGTGCGGGCTACTCAAAGATTCCTCGTCTGCCTATTCTCCAAAATGATCGTTAAGGAACTCCCGCACACATAACGCATAGTGCGGCGAAGCTTCATCATGCATGAAATGACGGATGTTCGCTAGTGTTGGATCATTGTCCATTTGCCCACGTATATCTTCGAGCATGCATTTTCAGATAACTTTGGCAAGACTTATGCCGATTTTTCGAGCGTTGCCAGACTTTGGCCGACCCCTGTATTAAGAATAGTGCTGTTGAGGGATGCATTTATTTTCATTATATTTCAAAATTTAAAGATCTTTGATTTTTTTTCTCGAAAACTAGAAGGAATTAAAACTTTAAAATAAACTCATGTCTAGATAATATTACCTTATTTATTTTACCAAAATTTCAATTTTTTAAAAAAATTACTTTTTGAGATATCCTTGTCCGGTGCTGTAATCACCTTAAGTATTCGAATACCGCTCTCGGATCCTCAAAAAGGATTCGAATCCTCCGCAGCTCTGCTTATGACAACTCTAATCTATACAAAAACGAATTCTTGTACACCTTTTAATCTTGTTATTCTATACGAGTACTATTTCTGAAACTATTTTCTATACATATAACACAACTGAAACAAGATTTCTAGTATAAAGTTTTATTAAAATTTATATCTTAAATGTAGCTAAATATATTAGAAGAAATGAACAAAACAATGTAACTAAGCTGATTTATTACAAATCGAAAAAATCATTGATTATTAATCTGCCCCTGTCCTTTTTGTACGTCACTGATACACTGCCAGTTGCCTTCAGAGTTCTGATCCCATAAGGTAATTTTATTATCACCGCCAGATACAGCTAGAATGTTTCCGTTTAGAGACCAACTTAAGTTCCAAACGACATCGTCGAATGTGTGCAGTACTGTTGAGTTCCAGTCAATACAGTCGTTACTGGTCCAGATAACTACCCTCCTGTCTTGTGAACAACTAGCTATTGTATATCTGTGAAGGCCTACAGACGGCGCCCAAGCCACATCTCTTACCCAATCTGAATGGACTTCGAGTTTGGACTCCTCTATCCACCTAAAATTGAAATAAAATCAAACACCCAAATTCCAAATAAAAGGAAAGTCATGTTTCAGTTAGCAAATAAGGTAAATATTGGGAAAACACCCTGTTAAGTACCACCAAAAATCGCAAAAACCAATTTTTTTTTTTTTTTAATATAGGGATAGTAACATTTTTATTTATATAATGGGAAACCAACTTTATAGTAAATATAGTGGTATTTAACCCACATAGATATAAAATACAAGACATTTATCAATGAATCACAGATCATGTTTTTAAAGATTTGCCCTCAACTTAGCTTTAAAGGAGCTCAGGGAATGACCGATAAAATCAATGTCCAGTTCACCAAGAATATTAGCCGTTCTTGATAAACGAGAGACAGGAGTGTGATATCCATAATTTGTTTAATGTCAACGAACATTATATCATTTCTGCCCTCGAGAGGGGGTGTCTCAATTTACACTGACTTCTCAAAGGCATTTGACACGGTGAACCATGATTTGCTTTTAAGGAAACTAGTGAAATTCGGATTTCCAACCTACTTAGTGAAATGGTTAGAAGGTTACCTGCAATCCAGGGTTCAATATGTCAAAGTTAAAAGTTTTACTTCGATTCCAATAAATGTAAGTTCAGATGTCCCCCAGGGATCTCATTTGGGACCATTACTATTTAATATATTTATTAACGATGTGACTTCAGGATTTAAATATTGTAAGTTCCTACTATTCGCCGATGACCTGAAATTATTCATGGAAATCTTAAACTTACCTGACTGTTTGAAGCTACAGGATGATTTAAACTATTTTATTAATTGGGCTTTAAATAATGCCATGTCTTTAAATCCACGTAAATGTTTTTCAATCACCTTCACAAGATCAAAAAATCCTATAAAAAATTTTTATAATATCAATACTGCTGTTTTGGAGAAAGGATCTGCGATAGTTCTTCGACATTTGTCCCATACATGAGATCCATCATTAGTAGAGCTCTGAAAACATTGGATTTGTTACCAGGAACTCTAGGGAATTCTCTGTGCCTACATTCCGTACCCTTTACTTAACACTAGTGCGCCTCTTATATGCTTCACCAGTCTGGTCACCTCATTAACGGACTCATATTTTAAATTTAGAAGCAGTTCAAAATAGGTTTCTAAGAACTTGTCAGTAGAGATTACATATGCCTTATCTTTCTAAGAGGGAGCTTAATAACCATTTAAACTTATTGTCAGTTGAGAAAACGTTAATTCGTAATGATCTTTTATTTCTTCATAACCTCCTGGAAGGGAATATACCTTGTCTGGATATGTTGGAGCTAACAAACTTTAGATTAAACAACAAATATTAGAGAGAAATCATTATTTTCAATTAGCTTCCATCATACGAACTACGGACTCAACAGTCCTTTAACCAGATTTCAAAGGCAAGGAAATTAAATTAAAGCCTTGGTTTGTTTGAACACTCCGTCACGGTGAGCGAACAGTCCGTCGACCGTCGCGTTTTGACGATTTTATCCAACCAGAGTATTTAAATGGGAATGGTTTTCTTGAATCTACTTAGCTGAGCAAGACGGCGTCATGCCGCTGATTTGTCGCGACTAGTCGGTTCATATCTGTTGAGTTTGATATCAGCGGAATCGTCGTCGTGTGCAGAGAGTTTGTGAATTCAAATAAATATATTGTTATTATTTCTAAAACAATAAGTGACAAATTCACACATAGAGATCATGAATTCTTAAAAGATTTGGTTCGACAATATCCTCCTTTATACAGTGTGGCAGGAAATGTTGGCCTTTACAAAACTCAACACGAATTCAAAAAGATCTGTAAAAAGTATGAAATATTATTTAAATTTGGTTTCATTTTTAAAAAGCCTCTGCTGTACAGTGATATTAAAGGCACATATCTGTACCGCGACACAAAAACCATCTACTGGCTTATTTGAAAATTTGACTGTTGCAATTGCCAGTTCCTCTTGTTCTTCCTCTTCCAACAATAATAACAACGCAAACAATTTATTTGCGTCAATTTTAGTACCTTTCGTTTACATTCATAATACATAAACAGCACGTACGGACATAGAGAAGGTCTTATTTTCTATGTTTAACAAACCACCTCGGGCGAAAATCGCTGTCCTCAGCGGTCGACGGACTGTCCGACAGAGTGTTCAAAGAAACCAAAGCTTAACAGACACACTGATCTTTTGGGAGTTAGTCGGTTTAGGTTTAAAAATTAGCTACTTATCGAGTTAGCTTTAGGTCCAAGTTTTTTTTTTAAGTTTTTTGTGATATTTAAGTGTTTTTTTCCTTTTTTGTGTGATACTTTAGGTTAGGTTTAAAATATCTACTGATAATAATTATTTTGTAAAAGGAGATTTTCCGTAAGTAAATAAATAAAATAAAAAAAAATCAAAATGGATAAATAAATTGCAGATGTGACTGAAAAATAAAAGATTAAAACAGTTTTTTAGGAAGAGCATTAAACAAATTACAAAGTAGAGCTTTTCAAAGTACAGTAGAGGGTATGATAATTTGGATTAATTGTGATCAGACCCTGTCCAGATTATCAAAATGCACCGGACTTTTGAAGGGAACTAAAAATGGTAATTTGAATGCATAACAAAACTTGCTAAAACCGTAAATGATTTACTTTTGCGGTTAAATAATTGAGCAGATAAATAAAATCATTAATTAATATGAATGTATTCAAAGACTCTGCCCAGCCTGTCGCATAAACGATTTTGTTTGATAAATACGCATGTATGCATTCATTTTTTTGTTGTTTTTCACCGAATTTGAATCCAGATTAACGACGGTCAGAATTTTGCGTCCTAATTATTGACACTATTGTATTTGTAAACATAGTGCTAAAAATAAGATACTTTTTTTCATTGATTTGTATTTTATACTTTGCAAAACCGTGCATTTGTAAAAGTGAAAGATATAATTCTAAAAATAAATTTTCTCCATAAGCCATTAATATGTATATAGGATATATATAAAAAAAATGTTGATTTATGGTGTTGCCAGTTGTATTTTTTGTTTATTTACTTATTTATTTAATAATAATACATCCAACAGGCTTATAGCCCATTTACAAGTATATAAAATATAAATAAGTAGACATTATTTCAGTAAAAATACATGCTAATAGTTTTGTTACTAAATACAAATACCTACCTAAAATCTTAGCTTTATGAATATTTGTGATTTATAACAGCTACTGATAAACTAACAGAACAAAAAATATAAGTTTAGAAATTAATCAAAAATTAACCTGGATATTTCTTTTTTAAATTGTGGAAAACTCAAAAAGAAAATATTCACATTAGGAATGGCGTTTACACTTTTAGACATTAAATATAGGGGTGAATTAAAGTGATGATACGGATTTGGTAGGGGAATATGAAGCGTACTGGCTACTCACAAAGTGATATGGGGAATATTAAGAAATATTTGAAAAAGTAGATTTGAGGAGTCAATGTGATTATTAATTATATATAAAACATATATCTGCTATTTTACGGTGCTTTCTTAAAGATATGAAATTGATTTGCAGTAGCAATAATTCATAATTGGAACCTCTTTCAGGATACATACCATATTTTTTAAGGTAAACAAATTTTAAAAATCTTTTTTGAACTTTCTCTTAAGTAGTTGTATGTATTTATTATTTTGATAGAGGTTCCATGTAATAGAGCAATATTCGAGGTTGCTTCTCACAAGTGAATAATATATATTTTTTTTTTAAGGTGAAGGGGGGAGAAAAAGTCCTTTATATCTCACAAGGAAAGTCCAATGTTTAATTATTCAACAAAACATTGAGTGCGACCGGTTTCGAAGTAACATCACTTCATCTTCAGGCTCGCCTAGTGGAAAGGAGAATATGTGGTGTAAGGTGTGTTGACTTTGAGCCCACAATATAAAAAATAGTAAAAAATAGAAAAAACTCACCATACTCTCCATCCACTAGGGAATACTACAAACCAGTTTCATCAAAACGTGGGGGATGAAATAAATTGTAAAACAAAACAAGGTTACAAGTTATAAAGTTAAAAATATTTGAAAAACAAATATTAGTCGATAAAACAGTTAAAAATTTTAAAATATTCAAGACGATACAAAAACAAATTACATACATTAAACAGATTAAAAGATAAGGCCTGTTTTAAGCAAACATTGCTGTTTTTTATAAAAATCTAACATTTTTGAAAGGAGACCTGTCAAGTTAAGGCCTCTACAGGTGGTGGTAAGTACTAAAGAAAAAATTCTTGGATAAACTTATGACAGGGTATAGGTAATAAGATGTAAACTATGAGTGAAGAAATTTCTTCACTTTTTCTCCCCCCTTCACCTTAAAATTACTTCAACTCACACATGGCTACCCCCCTTGTCAAGAATAATATATACTTTTCATTGCATCAAAGGACCTTATGTCTTTACAGTTCCTAATTAGAAATCCTAAATTTTTTAAAGCCTCTTTAATAGTGTTTTAATATGTATTGTGAAGGTTAGCTTTGAATCAAATATAACGCCTAGATCCTTCGATTCACTGACTTGTTTCAATACAGTTCCATTATGTTATATTGAAAATGGGGTTTTAATACACTGTGACCTAAAAGATCTATTGTGCCCCCTTCTATCGCCAATGCACTAAGGAAATATCTCAATGCCTATAACGACCCTTCCAATCCTATTTTCTCAAGGAAGTGTAGGATTTTAAGTGGCTTCAAGTTAGGTAAATCTCCCTCTTCTATTTGATATCCTCCTAGATATAGTGCCCTTGGATTCTGGAGTGCTACACATTCAGTTAGGATGTGAATGGAGGTTTCGTCCTCCTTCTCACAGAATCTGCACTCACTATCCTCTACTACTCTCAGTTTACTTAGGTGTCCTTTTAGTCAGCAATACCTGGTAAGGATCCCTGTTACATTTCATAGCCTGTTCTTGCTCAGGCAGATGCAGGCTTCTGATCTTTTCTGGTTATATTCACCCAGAAGTATCTTGGCCTGTCTCAGCCCCAAGAGATTGCTCCAATTATCGGTTCTTCTACTGCCCAATTTTTTAATCTCTCCTAATATTATGTTCCTGCTGATATCGCAGAACGGCTCAGGTCCTACAAAGGGTGTTTGAGTCCCTTTCCTTGCAAGACTATCTGCAATACAGTTCCATTAGGAATGTAATCATTCACAACTGGTTTTTGTTTTCATGTAAAAGTCATCACTTTGCACTTTTCTGGATTAAGATAAAGCTTATTAATCTGACACCACTCAAAGAGAGAATTTATATAATTTTGCAAATACATAGTGTCCATTGGACCATTTATTTCTATATATATTTTCATGTCATCTGCAAATAAAAGTTTTTCACACTGTACAACCTCACAAATATCATTTACCAAAGGAAAAATAACAAAGGTCCAAGATTGGATCCTTGTGGAACCCCCGAGGTAGCTACAAAATATGATGCTTTTTTCCCTCGTATTCAACGTACAATTTAGGACTTACTAAATATGACATAATTAGGCATTGTATACTGGTGGAAATACCAAAACTATTAAGCTTTTTCAACAGTTGACCATGGGAAACTCTATCAAAGGCTTGCTAAAGTCAGTATATACAACATCTACCTGTTTTTGGGAATCTAAAGAATCTGACACAAACTGAGTAAAAATGCAGATTGGACGTTGTATTTCTGGCCTTAATAAAGCCATGCTGAAAATCAGATAATAAAAGCTTTACATGGTTATATATTATATCTGAGAGAATAATTTCAATTAGTTTTGAAAATGCAGAAATTAGGGCAATTATTGGTCTATAGTTTTCAACTTGTACAGTTCCCAATTTAAATACAAGGCAAATTCTTGAAAGTATCCACATTTCAGGAAATTGTGAGTTTTTTATTATAGTGTTGTAAATAACATTTAAAGGCTGAGAAAGGTAATTGATGTGAGATTTAACAATTTTTCACGATATGCCATCAGACCACACATGTATCCTTGCATTTCAACTTTTTAGCTGCTTTTAAAATTTGACTTTCTGTTATTTCATTTATATTTAGGTATAGAGAGGGATTTTTAATTTCATCATATTTTGAAAGTACTGTGGTAATCTTTAGTACTGTCCTTCCTAAAGCATAAAATGGGAGTTGTGAAAAATATCTTGAATTTATAAGAAAAGGGCATTTTCCCAATATACCTAGTGAAAAGAAATATTAAATAGTGAATTTCATATAATCTAAAATAAAAATCGCAAAAATGTATCAAGTTCAAATATAACCTAGGTATATTTACCTATCTCCATCTTCTCTCCAAACTTTCACTAAGTTGTCGCACCCACCAGAAACAAGTCTCTTAATAGGTTGCGACTCTGGCTCATTACTGCTAAATACAGGAGTTATGGCAGGTGCCCAGCTGACTGCATTGCAACCGATTGCATGTGCATTTTGTATTTTCTTAGCATCCCAATTGTTACTTCCAACATTATAGGTCAAAACAGAAATAGACCCGTCACTACTACCGCAAGCTAAGATCAATCCTAATTCGGCGGGAGCAAATTGTACTGAATTAACACTGGAATCGTGATTGGCATATTCATAATATTTCACCCATTTTCTCTGTTGTTCCTTCCAAATTATCACTTTTCTGTCATAGGAGCAAGATGCTAAAAGATTTCCGAATTTAGGATGACTCCAAGCTATCTGCCATACGGGCCCGTAATGTCCCTTCAAGTCGTCAATAAGGGTGGACGCTCCACTCTTGATATCATATACTTTAATGCTGTTATCTGACGAACATGTTGCTAAACGTAATCCGTAATAATCCACTTCAGCATCATGTATCATATCTTCGTGGCCAGTATCAATAGAATTCAAAATCGAAACCATATTTCATTAATTTGATATGCAAAATACAAAAATTAAACTCTAACCCTATTTTTTGACGTGTAACGAAAATTTGACACGTTAAATTTCAAGAATTACCAACATCTACAAAAAGAATGGCCTTTGTTTATGCATTTATCCAGGATATGGATACTTAACACGTAACGAATTGAATAAAGAGAGACATTAGATACAAATCGCATTCTGTCAAACGAAGATAGTCGTCTAAACACGTGCCGAATTGAAAGATGAGAATCTCAATGCAGGACTTTAATAAAAGGCTTGCACAACCGAGAAATCAACCGGTCGGAATAAATTGAGTCGTGAGAAAGTGCCCAAAAACAAAATAATTCTTCTTATTTAGACCTTTATTTATTAGGTAGTTGGTTATTTTAATAGAACTGTCAATTTTTTTTGACTTTGACATTCTATCGGGCATTGTGATATCACCATTTTCAAAGTCGGGTGAAATAGAAACTTGTTCCCCTGCAAATTAATTATAAAACTAAAAAGTAAGTAAAACAGCAAAGCTTTAAAAAAAATTCACTATCAATCATTTAAAATTATTATGTCCAATCCCTTTCGTTTTGTAAATATCTTCAACTGTTCAATTACATAATCACCTTTTTAGATGTTGTCCTCTCAATTTTTAAACACCATCAAGGGTTCGGTAAAAACTGGAATTTGCAGTCGCAACATCGGTATTCTTGCACCATGCCTTCAAAAGGCTACCGACCCAATCCAACAACTTTTTGTTGATAAAATTAGAGAATATAGGCAAAAAAGTAACAGGTTCGTAAATACATCCCTATTTAGAATTTTATGTAGCACAAAGCTCACAGATATTGTTTGAAATAGATATGTTTAATCGAGTTCAAGAGTTTTCAGTATCTTGCTAAGTGGTTCTACTAAATATACATTTTTTTTTGCAGTGGTAAAAGCCTCGTTGATCCCACTCCAGATCTTGAAAAGGAGTTAACTACTGAATTGGAAAAGGTTGCTAAGCAATACGGAGGAGGTAAAGGTGTAGACATGACCAAATTCCCTTCATTCAAATTTGAGGATCCCCAAATTGATTCCATCAATTTAGAAAAATAAATCATTTAATTTTTGTTAATAATAAATAGGCAGTAGAATAATTAAGCAGTTTTTATTTTAAGTTACTTTTTGGTTTGTTATGGGACACTGTTGAAAAACCACCAATTAAAAAAAAATGTATTTTCAGCCCTAAATATTAAATAATAGAATAATTATTGAAAAAAGGAAAATAAAAGAAAATTGGGATTATTTCACATGCAGCATTTTAGAAAAACAGCAAGATCCAAAATATCTGCCATACCATCATTAATAATTCTTAGTATCTAATTTTCTGGATAGCCAACCCAAATGCAAAAATTAAATTAACAGTTCTCTAACTAGAATATGTTGTATAAAAATAAAATCTATTGTTACACTTGCTGTGTTCTACTAGTCAAAGTTTACTAAGATGTCTGCAAGTGCTTGATAAGGATCCCCATGACTATATGTAACCTGTTCCTTTCTGATTATAGTCACCCAGAAGTATATTAGCTCATATTCTTATCCTCAAAAGAGTATTTTAATTGTCAGTTCTTTTTCAGCCCAACTCCTTTTTCATTTCTCCTGATACTGTGCTACTACTAATACCACAAAATGGCTCAGGTCACACAAAGGATGTTTGATTTCTGCGAGACTACAATATTGTTACCCTTGCCCCATTATTCTCCTGGTCCCAAAGTGAGGGTACTCTGTATTTTCCACACCTAGCTTTCTGTTTTTGTAGACACATCCAGATCATTTTCAAGTTGATTTTGTAAGAACTCAGTGCTTTGATGGCTGTGATCATTTTTATTGAATTCCTTTTTCATTTCTCCTGATATTGTGCTACTACTAATATCACAAAATGGCTCGGGTCCCACAAAGAATGTTTGATCTTTGCGAGACTACAATATTTATTTACAGAAAATCTCCTTTTACAAAATAATTATCAGTAGATATTTTAAACCTAACTTAAAGTATCACACAAAAAAGAAAAAAAAAACTTAAATATCACAAAAAACTTAGAAAAAAACTTAAGAGCTAAAGCTAACTCAATAAGTACTCCCTCAGCTGATTTTTAAACATAAACCAACTAACTCCCAAAAGATCAGTGTGTCTGTTAATTTCATTTGATTGCCTTTGAAATCTGGTTAAAGGACTGTTGAGTCCATAGTTCCTGGTCACAAATCCCAATGTTTTCAGAGCTCTACTAATGATGGATCTCATGTGTGGGACAAATGTCAAAGAACTATTGAAGATCACACCTAGATCCTTGATTTCACTAACTTTCTCCAAAACAGTAGTATTGATATAAAGAAAATTTATAGGGTTTTTTGATCTTGTGAAGGTGATTGAGAAACATTTACGTGGATTTAAAGACATGGCATTATTTAAAGCCCGATTAATAAAATAGTTTAAATCATCCTTAACTTCAAACAGTCAGGTAAGTTTAAGATTTCCATATATATATTAAATAGTAATGGTCCCAAATGAGATCCCTGGGGGACACCTGATCTTACATTTATTGGAATCGAAGTAAAACATTTAACTTTGACATATTGAACCCTGGATTGCAGGTAACTTTCTAACCGTTTCACTAAGTAGTTTGGAAACCCGAATTTCACTAGTTTCCTTAAGAGCAAATCATGGTTCACCGTGTCAAATGCCTTCGAGAAGTCAGTGTAAATTGAGTCGACGTGACACCCCCTCTCGAAGGCAGAAATTATATAATGTTCGTAGAGCAGTAAATTTGTAACGGTAGACTTACCTCACATAAACCCATGCTGTTGTTCAATCAAAATGTTTTTGCAATGCCATGACAAAGGTTTATATAACAATAATTCTAATTTTGGTATTGCAGAAAGTAAAACTACAGGGCGATGGTTAACTATGTTATCTTTCTGACCATTTTTAAATATGGGGGTAATGAAACTATCACGCCATTTAACAGGAAACTGTTGTAATTTCAAAGAGGAATTAAATAAAAGCTGTAGTGGTTTGGAAAGAGTGAATTTACATTTTTTTAAAAAATAAGGAGGGATTCCATCTGGACCATAACTCAATTTATCTTTTAGGGAGTTAATACCATCATAAACATCACTTAAGGAAAACTGTATAAAGGGAATATCAGGCTGGTTAAAAGCATTATCATGAAGGTTTAGCTCATCTACAATATCTTTCTTATAAACACTGGAGAAATGCGTAGAAAACAAATTACTGATGTCTTTCCCATTATCAGCAATTGTACCATTATAATACATTCTATTGGGAATACCATGGTCTTGTTTCAAAGAATTAATGTGCTTCCAGAAGTATTTTGTATTTTCACAAACCTTCAGATCTATACCAGAAATATAATTTTCATAATTTAGTTTTGATAAATTTTTACATTGAAACCGAATGTTAGAAAAATTTAAGTAATCAACAGCTGAGCGAGTACTTTTGAATACAGCATGAGCTGCCTTCTTGCGAGAATTCAACTTTTTAAGTTCAGCTGAAAACCATCTAGCTATAGCTATATCTCCTAACAGGTACAAATAAAGCTAATGCCAATTTTAAAATCTGATAAAAATATTGTTACCCTTCATTTTTGAGTTGATTTTATAAGAACTCGGTGCTTTGATGGCTGCGATCGTTTTTATTGATGTTGAACTGGATACATTTCTCAATTACGTAAATTTACAACTTTTAAATGTCTTGCGCTTGTTTAAAATATCAAAACGAATTTTGAAAATTATGATATACAGGGTTAATTTATAAGTTTTTTTTTGTAAATCAGGACTTGGTTTTTTCTTCTATTATATCAGTCGTTTGAGCAGTGAAAGGAAAATATGTAAACCAATTTGCAAAAAATGTTAATTATGAATCAATTAAACACAATCATAGGTTTTTTAGAACCATCTTGGTGTCCCCTATCCATAGTTACAGTTTGTACACTTTACAAATGAAATACATACTGTTTAATTAAAATTTAAAAATCATAAAATTATGCTGTTCAGTTTCTTATTAACAAGGGCTATTTTGTTCAATTGGTAACTTTTTGTTTAAAACCAAAGCTGAAAATAATATACAAAATTATCTATAAAAAAAAACTACAAGTTATTGCCAAACACTTATATTTCAAGAATGTATTTTGTTGTTAAACTTCAAACAAGAAAATATTCAGGAAGATGATGAATTATATAAATAAAAAAAAACATTTCGTTTAGTTTCTTAAGGTTAATACATAACATAATCTTTATCTGATTCTATAAATCATAGCCCTTGAACCAAAATTTCTCCAGTGTCATAATATCGCAAGAAACATATCAAACATCTAAGTGATACAATATACAATACACATCTCTGGAATGTTTGCAAGGCGGCCATTAAGATATTGATGTTTAATTGCATTCATATAGGAGTTACGACAATAGACGACAAAAAAAAGGAGAAACAAAATACTAATTTTAATCTAGGTACAAAGTGGCTGATTTCTCACTATGCAGCAATCATCGAAAAAGCTGCTGCTTTCTTCATATCACACCAGAAATCCAAATAAATGACGAGCCAAAAACCGCGGTGTGTGTCAATGCTATAAGACTCTCAATGTTATCTGCAACTTCCTCAGATATCATAATGAGCCTGGGTAGATACACACGTCAAAAACATCTAGGGAACAAGGATTAAAATTTTTAAAAATTGAAAATTTGTGTAGATATTTTTGATATCTTTTTGTTTACATTGTACATTATTTTGAAGGTTTAGCAATTGATAAAATGTGCATACAAAATGTTTGTCAAATCTTGGTTTAATTTGTTAAATATGTTATCCAAACAATGTACGATAAATCAAAAAGAGTTACGTTTAATTGAAGTAGAAAAAAAATATTGGTATGATGTTATTGAAAGAATTATTTGTGTTATACAGTTTTTATCTAGCCAATGCCTTGCTTTACGTGGTCCGTGTAATAAATTATATGAAAATAATATGGTAACTTCCTTAAAGCTATTGAAATGATTGCAAAATTTGACTCTGTAATGCAAGAACATGTTAGCTGAACACAAAAAGCCCAAAAAAGTGGCAAGGCAATGCCTAACTATTTAGGAAATAAAATTCAAAATGAACTTCTAGGTTTAATTAGTGTGTTGAGAAGACCTGGAAATCTGGAACGTCTTGCCATAGCCTAGGAAGTATACGGCTACCAGGATGGACAATAATGGTGTGGGGGTATTTGTGTCAAAGGAAGGACTGGCCTCGTTTTATTAGGCGGCATTTTGAATTATGTCAGTTATAGTGACAGTATTTTGGAAGTCGTTGTACTTCTATATATTGCAGAATTTCGTCTGAATTTTCAGCTAATGCACGACAATGCCCGTCTAGAAACTGAGCATTTCAATGTTTTGCCATGGCTTGCGCAGTCTCCAGTCCTTAATCGTATTGAACATTTGTGGAAATCAATGGGACAAAGACTTCTTCGTCAATAAAGGCAGTTTGTTGGCACAAGGGAACAAATGTTTTAATTGTCTTTCTGACTTGTGGAATACTGCAAACCAAATGTAAATTGACAATCTCATTTTCAGCATGCCCAACAGATTGATGCCAGGCTGTAATTAATTATTGGTCACACTGCTTATTGATAGAGCACAAACAATCGAGAATTTTGTTTTTGTGAGATTTCTTGCATATCAAGTTGATATTTTTATTTTTTTCTTATAATTGTTGAAATAATTTTTGTTTTTGTAAAATTTTGTTTTTGTTGGTAGTGCTAAAGGAACGTTGATATTACCAATAGGCACACACATTTTTAAGATCTCCAAAAATTTATAACAATTTTTATTGTTTCCTAGATTTTTTTAATGTTTGTAGTTGAGAGATTAAGGCTCTTTGCAATGTCATCAAATGCTTTCAAGTGTCCTCCAGATCCCTTAGCTATTTACAGCGCCTTCTTAAAACAACGGCAAAACCCAGAAGATTTTCATCTTCAGAAATATAAAATTCTTCTTCATCATCATCGTAAAGTGTATCTTCAGTTTTAAACACCACTTTGATTTCATCTTGTGGATAGCAATGCGTAACCCAAAACTTAAATTGATTATTCTCATAACTAGAATGCAGTAAAAAAATAAAATAATCTCTAGTCTTTACAAATATCTTTTCGCCGTTCCTAAACCCATACTCTTTAAACAAAAATGCATTTGATGTTGACCCAAAGTTAGTTTTTCCATCAAATAAGAAAACATTTAAATAATTTGATAATTCCTTTAAACAATCGTTTTTTACACATAAATCTTCATGAGTACTTAATTCACCACCAAGTAACAACTTGCCACAGTTAAATCTACAATAAAATTGCAATAATCTATAAATATTTGTTTCTGCAGTGGCTAATTCAATGTCTTTTTCATTTTCACCTAAGTAACAATATCCACGTATTTCCCAACAAATCTCACAATACAAGTGGTTATCCTCACATTTATATAAACTAGTATTAGAAATAATTAATATATTTTCACAAAATGTGCATGATTTAGGTAACCCAATAAATGCAGACTGAACAAGTGAAATATCAATATCAAATACACTATATTTCTGATACATTTTTTTAAAATCATCACTTAAAAATATTTTATTAGAATATTTATTCCCATTAGGGCCAACAACTTCTGTGGTAACATCATTCGTATTTGTTACACTTCCAATTGTATCAATTGAAATTAAATTGTTTATAAAATTAATAGAAGTTGTATCAAAACAAAATCTCAAACTCATAATTAAATTGGCATTTTTAGAAAAGGGTATTTTAAAACATTCTGAATTATGTTCAATTAGTGAGCAGTCTCGTTGCCTGGTCTGCAAGCATAAGTTATCAGAATTTGTAGAATCACCCAGATAACATTTGATGTATTGTTTGATTCTATGCACTCTTTCAGGGTAACCAAGACATGCTGCATTAACAAAAAAACAATTATATGCCAAATTGCATCTCACATGAAGAATATAAATCATATCGTTTTCTTTGTACATATAGTAGTTTTCGTATTCATTATCTTGAGGTAAAAGTATTTCCGGTTTTTCCAACAGTGAATTAGAATGTTCTCTTTTATAATGTTGAACAAAATGATAGGAAGAAAATTCTGATGAACATATTGGACAACTGTATTGACTTGATATACATTTCGCTTCATGGGCTTCAACTGACGAATAAGCTAGTAGTTCCATGCATCCTTCATATCTGTATAAAAAAGAAAGTTAATGAAATGTCTCCCAGGCGAGATTTTTGTATTATTATTTAGTTCTTTTAGGAATGTAATAGAGGATCCATAAGTATATGCATTCACAACTGTATTGTACATTGTTTTACATAATAAGTTTTGAAATAAAGATAAAAAATAGTAAGTAAAAAATATAAACATATTTATAGATAAAATCTAGAACATTGACATTAAATCTAAATAGATAGTAAGATTTTAGAGATATATCAAAGAAATCAACAGAAGAATTTTGCAATTTGTTTTCTGAAATGGCCGATAAAAAGTTCAGGAGTTCTTAGAACTCTGAGGTACTTTTAAATATAGTTGAAACAAAATATCTGAACTTTGACTAATACTATTCATAAAATAACATCATTTATAGTGCAGCTGTCCACCAAACTTAGAATATTTGTGTTAATACCAATATTATTATTTTTATGATCTAAATATTTAACAAATTTATTCTGAATATTTTATCAACCTACTAATGTAAGTTATGTAGATAAATGGGATACCAAAGTACACTGCTTTACAAAAAAAGGATTAAAAATTAATCTGATCTTTTAAGGCTTATAGCTCAGTAACCATGGAGAACTGGATATTTGTTCATAGGACATTTTTTTGCTTGAACTGAGTAAGTTTGTACAGTGTACGTCATGCAACACCTTGTATAATAAAGAATAATGGTCCTAAATGAGATCCTTGTGGCACACCAGAATTTACTGAGTAACTGTCCGATTCAAATCCATGTACATGTACAAATTGGGATCGGTTTTTAATATTACTAATAGGTACTTATTAGATTATATCTATCTCGGGAGAGTACCATCCAGACTATTCTCAGCAAGACAGGAAAGTAAAATAATATGGCCATAGATTGTATCTACATATCTGGACTTCCCGACAAAGGGTTGATTAGGGTACTACAGTTATTTAATTTTGTATTTACCTGTTGATGCACGGAAAAAGTCCATTCTCTACAATTTTTTCGTACAAAGATACGACTCCACCATCGTCATCTTCCGAACATCGACCACACTTGATAGCTCTATTTCTATAAATTTTAATTGGTTTAACAGATAAATACTTGAAGCAAACTGAGCAATTTAGTTTATTTAGCAGTTTATCTGAGATAATAAACATTTTTAAATAGTGCGCACAAAACGCCGACTATTTAATTAATTTCATGGAGATATATAGAACAGTGTTGCCAACCTTGAAGTATAATTTTTCCCTCCACTTACATTAAAAATTGGCAGTGGCTCCCTGTCCGATATCGGATTCGCAGCTGTGCGTTCTCGACGTCCGACCTCGGACATATAGCTTCAAATTCTGTATGTCCTTCGGCGTCGATGTGCTGCCGTATTCCTTATGTAGTTTGAGTAATTTCATCATGGCTCGTATTTGTTAACGCGAATACCTAAAGAGGGTTCTATATGGTTTAATTAACCAATTTTTTCTAGGACCTTTAAATTTGCATATTCTCAAATCGATCATTCTTCCACGACGCTCACCAACTACTTTTTTTTTCTCGTAAAAAAATATTTTTTTCTGGACATAAGGTAGGGTGACCTATTTCTTTTTGACCCAATGCTAGACGCCAGAGGTGCTTAGCTACCCTGGCTTTATTTCAAATCAAAACTTTTTTCGAGATGAAGTTTCATGAAACAAAATTATAATTTTTTTCCCAAAACCAATAGCTGCCGAGAAAAAAATAAACACCATAATTTATAATTATTTTAATAAATTGAGTAGAAAACAGTAAAGATGTAAAATGTAATACGATTCATAATGAATGCTGGAAATGACCACCTTTAGCCAAAATAATACATTACAGAATTTCAAGTTTCTAGCTTTACTGAAAGTTTAGAAAGGGGTGCGCTGAGGAAATTTTGTTATATGAAAGACCCATCTTAATTTCATACGAGCAATTACCTCCTGAATTTTGTCGCATGAATTTAGAAACACTCTGTACAACTCCTTTAAAAGAAATGTTTTTCTCTTACATGTTTTTTTTTTTCATATAATTTTTGTTACCTACTTTATATCTTTTAAGTAAATTTAATTTTTAACCTCTATTGAGTCAGGCAGATTTCACTTGTAGGTATAGGTAGGTACCCACCTTATTATTATTATAAAAAATGTTAAATGTTTATAATTATATATTATTAAATCGTAATTTTTACAAAGCAATATTTTTTAAACTTATTCCTTAAATAACAATTCAAACTGATCCAAGATTATATGGTATATATAGGCATATCGTATATTAGATGTCAGGTACCTGTCCCTTATATGACCCTAAAAAGACTAATTTACGGAAAAAAAAAGTCACGGCGAGCGTCGCGGGGAGAATAATCAGTCAATTTGAGAAAATGCAAATTTAAAGTCTGAAGAAAAAATTGACTAATTAAACCTTGTTTATTATGAAATGTTAAAATATAAAATGCAACAATAAAAAGTTATTCTTAGATGAGTAGTAACAATAGTAACTTAAGGAACACCCTCTTCTGCGCTTTTAAAAATACGACCCATGATGAATAATTACTTATTATGCAATTTAAAGAAAGGCGGCAGCACGTCGACGCTGAAGGACATGCAGAATTTGATGCTCTATGTACGAGGTCGGACGCGGAGAGCGCGTAGCTGCGTGTCCGATATCGGACATGGAGCCACTGCCTTAAAAATTCCCACTTTTCCCGTTTAGGGTTGCCACCTTTTCGTTTCTCAAAACCCGGACCTTTGTTCTAAAAAAAGTTCTTCAGCTAACCAGCCTTCCTCCATGCTAACCAGTTCCTTCTGGGTCCTAAAACCCGCACAGGTGACATCCCTTCTCCTGTTAAAAAATCAGTTTTCCCATTTATTCAAACCTTCTCTTTTTATTTTTCTATGAGTTTTATACTACTTGTATACATATAAAAAGGATAACCTAAAAAACAAATCCTTTAAAAATACGTCAAAGCAGCTTAATTTATAACCGCCGTAACGTAACTTAAGAACTTAACGTAAGAAGTTGAAATATTGAATTTACGTATACTTATTTATAATGTTCGTAACGTAACTTAAGAACTTAACGTACCGTAGAAAGTTCACCAACTTTTAACTTAACAACATAACTTAACTTAAGACCTTACGGTTAGCCAATGAGATAATTCTGCGTTCAGCATGTGATAACTGTCAATTATTCTTTTTATTTATTTTTTTTTATAAATGAATAGACAAATACCATTTGTAAACTATCATTCTCCTTTTTGATGGACATACATTATCATGAATGATTTGTGTTTATGTTATTGGGGATAAACTATTTATGAAATATGAGTGTTGCTGCATATACCTATAAACATCAAGCCTAGAACTGAAATAAGACACAAAACTAGTTTGCTAGGAAAGATTAAATTCTCATTATTGCTCAAAAACAATCAACATCTTCGGTTAACTATTCTGTTGTATTATATTTTTATATTATTGCTTTTAAAGTAGTTAATATATTCTTTCTATATAGCAAAATCATAATTTATAAGTTTTATTTAGAGGTTAGGTGCATTGTTTACACTTGTTTATTTCATAAGGTTATCAGTAATTTGATAATCTCTGAAATACAACACGCATGATCAACTCTTACGTTACGGACATTTATAAATAGACTTTATTTTTATATCTTAGGTTAAATTCCTAAGGCGTTAAGTTAAGTTACGTTACGGTGGTTATAAATTATACTTAAGGCCAAGTTCAATTTTGTTTGACATATCATCACGATTTTTTTTAGGTTAGAAAATTGCATTATCGATTTTTTTCATTCGAAAAATATAAGACGTCACTTTAAATTTCTATCTCTTTTTGTCAACAAATTTCTAACCCGTTGAATTTATAAAACGTATGTCACTAATGAATATGTGGTGGCAACTGACGGCAACACTGTCAGCTACTCCAAGGCTACTAGAGTACATACAGGTCCGGTATAAGCCATGGAAAATAATAATTTAATGTTTTGATCGAGTTAAATAAAATATCAAAATTAAATGTTTATTTTTAAGTAAAAATTTTTAAATGTATACGTCTCCAATCAAAAATAATATAGGCTAATACTCAAGTGTATTATACGAGTGTACTGGACAAGAGATAAGTTTACCCTTTACTCCAGTTTTTTTGTAATGAAACCAGTGGTAAAATAGATATTTGTGTACCAAGGCTGTATTTTGGCCGAATTAGACATATGCATTCAAGTCTAAGCTAGTTCTGGTTAAGTATAAGAGTAATAGGCAAGAAACGGGTGTTCAATCAAACTTGACATCGAGATAGATGTCACATAAGCAGGTGTACTGAAGATGAACTTTGCAGGACCAAGCATCAGATAGGTATAACACTTGATATTCTGAAAACTATGTGAATACTACACTGAATAAGAACGAATGGAAGTGTCAGAAGGAGGCTAAAGGCAAAAAATAGACGGAACAGAGCCTAATAGATAGATAAGTCATATTTTAGCCAGGAGAGAGTCGATGAGTGTTATAAATATAGTTATTTATGAATGTATTTTTAATGTATAATTTCAGTTTATTTTCATTTTTGGTATAAAACTATGGCTGACATAATAATACTCTTAAAAGTATATATATTTTCAATCTTTATTACTATACATTATTTAGTATTCATTTATTCTCTCTGACCTAGGGAAAAGGTCAAAAAACCCTGGTCATAATTGTTTACAATGTTGCGTGTTCCTAATGATACAAAACATTACAGAGGAATGATACTTAGCCGATGAAATCTCATCGAGTTCACGCATGACATATTGTGGTATGGAATATGGCTATCTCTGATGCATCTGCAGATTTAAATTTATTTTTGCGTACTGTTTTCTATCAACTGATACCCCAAATTTATACAAGCCACGTCTTCGCACCACAATGTGACATAGCATCAAATCTGCTTAATCTCGTACCATTTTTTTAAAGTATCAAGGATATTCTTGGTGTAGCTGATCATCATGTTTCGAGTCACTGAACCTAAAAAATAACAAATATCAATAAATAGAATTCGGAATTTATTCTAAAAATATTTTTCTTTGGGAATTATATAGGATTTCTCGTTAATATACTGACAAACTTTTAAAGGTGGTAGGTGCATCAAAATAAACATTTTTTTGCTTAATAAAATAAAAATAATTTTATTGCCCAACAAATTAATCCATTTACAGAACAAAATACATGAAATAAATGTTAAACATAATATTTCGACAGAAAATAATTTTAGCAACAGCAAGAAAAAAAAAGAAAGAATCCTAAATACATTAGCTACAAATTAGTACAACTAATGGTCGAAATAAATATCCCAATCAGAACAAAATTAATTAAAATTTGAGCACATTAGCCTTATAGGCGAATTTCTTCCCAAGTTCGTTCAAATACTTGCTGTATAAAATGTTTTATGATATCTAATGGCTGTTTGGGGAACATTAAAATTTATTTAATTTATCAAAAATAGTACATCAATAGTGTTATGTAATATTTTATAAAAAAAATGTAACACTGGAAACTACCCTTCTTTTTTCGAAAGAAGCAGAGATTCTTCAATACCTCGAATTGGATACAGCTAATCTATTTTAAAAGAAAGGTACTTAAGAGATCGCCGCTGAACATTTTCCAATGATCTTTTATGAATATTGTAAATAAGGTTCCAGACAAGAGACGCATATTCTAGCCTGGAACGAACTAAAGAAAAGTAAGGATCTCCAAGCTTTAAGAATTTGTTAAAGAACGAGTATTACGGAATTAAGAACCCTAAGCTTTTCAACGCAGAAGCAACCTCGGAAGCAACGGTATTTTCAATATAATCCGAAAAAGTAACTTTTTGGTTGAATAATATACCTTAATCTTCAATTTGTGCCACAAGTCCAAAAAAGGTAGGCTGTTAAATAAATAATCAAACTCCACCTTGTTATTACTTCTAGTATAGGAACATACTTTACATTTAGACACATTCATAAACAGCTTGTTTTCATTACACCAATTTTCAACGATTCCCAAGTTGGGTCTGTAAAAAGTAACAGTCTTGAATTGATAAGATTGAGGTAAATATTTTTAAGTCAGCAGCGAACAGCAGGTTAAATTTATTGCCAAGTCATTTATAAATATACTAAA